ATGAAAACGAAAGGCTGGGGAACCCCCACTGTGTAAGCCCTGATCTTACACAGTGGTGTAAGATTCAGCTTGGGTTTTCCTTGGGACAAAATAAAACTATTTCTTAAAGTTTATGAAGTAATTGGCACCTTAAGATAGAGTCTTTTTTTCTCTTCAAAATGTATTTTCTTTAGATAAAAGCCCAGCTTTAAAGAAGGTGACTGGGCAACATGTAGGCAGACCTTTGGGTAGTTTTCTGGGTCACTTCCTTCCGTACCGTCAGGACAGCTTAGATGTGATGAGACAGAGAAGAACTGATAACCAAAGAGAAGCAGAACCAAGAAAGAAGTGCCCCCTCCCCTTTCATGACAAGCTTAGGGTTGGAGGAAACAAGGCCCTGCCCGGATCCACAGCAGGCAGTGCCCTCTCTGGAGGCCCCTTTCTACACTCCCATAGGACGTGAGGGCTTAAACTGCAAGTCCAGAGGCCGGGGATTCGGTTCAGCTCTGCCGCCAGTACACTGACCTCGGACAGTCACCATGCCCCAGGCCTCTGCTCCTCCGTTAAAAGGAGATGCTCATACCACTGGTTCCCTAGGACCACGCGAAGGACAAACTAATGAAAGGACTCTTTAGAATCTCATTCATTCAAATCCTAATTGGGAACTGGTAATATTTTAAACATGTTTTGTTTTCACAGCCAAGAATAAAAAATGTGTGCCTCCTGAATCTGTTACTGCTCGGACTTCCTGAGGGCAGGTGCAGTCTTACTCATCACTGCATCCCCAACAAGGGTGCCTGGTAAGTGCTGTGAATCCTTACAGACGTTTTCTGTGCGTTTACATATGTATGTGTGCCTTTGCGCACACACAAGCACACTCGACTTGCACCTTACTCTGTAAAGTATATAGCTTTTGCAAGTCCCTTAGGGAAGGCAGTAAACAGCAGGAGGGTGTTGGAGAGGCTATAGAGCAGCTGTGATGCTGGGTCGTCCAAAACCAAATGTAAACAGACGGTCCAGGGATGCTGAAGCAATGGGGCACATACCATGGAGACTTGTTCGCTGAAAAGCCTCCTGTCTATTTCTAGGCTCCTCTAATCATTTAGTGGGGCAAGTACCAATTTGAGCAGATCTGATATAGAATCCACAGAAGACATGGGCTCGTTTTCTCATCTGGTGGATGAGGAAGAGTGCTGGGGACGAGCCCTGCATCCCTGGTTGAACACACCTTGTGGGACCCCTGGCGTGAAGTCAGGAGATCGTGGATCATGCTGTTGCACGGGGTTGATGGTTTGGAACATGGAACCTCGGGGCAGACATACCTGGCTTCCAGACCTTGGCTTGTCAATTAACTGAACAACCTCTGGCAAGTTAACTTCTCCAAGTTTGTTCTTTCATCTGTAAAGTTCACATCATATTTCCAGAATTAGATAGACTCCTTTTGCAAGAACTCGACTGTGGGCACTCAGCCACTTTAGCTGTGTTAACGCCATTGCTTGGTCCTTGATTTTGGATAGGGAAGGCCACCCAAAACCTACCAGAGGAAGAGTACTCCAGGCTGTGACTTGGGGGCAGGAATGGGATTTTCTCACCGTTTCTGTCTTGGCAGGCAGCACATGATTGGTAGAAAGGTGTTCTGTTAAGTATTTAGGGAAAAGAGTTACATGAAGGAGCAAGTTAATTAAACAGTGTTTCTTTCCTGTTCTCATCTACCACCAGAGCCAGGCTTGGAGTCCTGGTGAGTTGCAAATGAGATTTAGCTTGGGGAGCTGCTACAATGGTACTTGTTCCCTCTCTCTATTCTTGAACAGATTATCAAGAAGCACCAATCCAGAACCATAGTTTGCCGTGCCGGGACACTAAAAACTCTGAATATTTATTCAAGCTCATAAGAAGCTGCCCAGGTAATATCTCATGGTGGGTATTTCCAGATGAAGATAGTGCCTCTCTAGGTTGCCTGCAGGAGTTGAGAAGATACACTCTCCTCCTGATTACCTTGCCATGCCATTGATGGAATCTGAGAATGAGTTTGGGGCCTCCCATTCTATATGCAATTGAATTGTACAGATTTAATTTCACCAGTGTTCAAAAGGAAAAACAGAACAACAGGCATTAACAGAAGATCATGCACTTTTGCCAAGACCCCCCATCCCCACCTCAACCCCGGGGTTTACTTCCTTCTTTAGTCCCCAAAGAGATTAATACTCTATAGTAGGGTTTCTAAACTGAAATGGGGCAGCATTCTTATCTCAATGGTTTCACCAGGTGCTGAGAACAGCACAAAGTCCCGGGAAGGCATCAGCAATTCTGGATGCTGAGCTTGGATGCAGTGAACTTGGGGTTGCCTAATAAGATCAGATCTAATCTGCATTTACCATCAGTTCATGGGCTGCTCTATTTCTGATCCTTCACAGGGCTTTTTTCTTCCCTTTTTGCTGTTCTGTTTGCTGCTGCTCCTCAATGGTTTGATTTGCAGTCCTGTCATTTCACAAAATCCTTCTACTCCTGGAAAAGGATGAGCAAAATTACACAGTGTTGCTGCTACTTAACATTCAGGAAGTGAAGTGCGTGCGCGCACACACACACACACACATGCACAGTTACCCATCATGCTTACCAGATGGTAAATGTATCTCGTTTCATCAGAAAGTGAGCAGCAAACATTCAAATTCACCACCGACACACTTAAATTCACATCCATTTTCAATTTGACATCTTTAATGAGTTAGTATAATGAAAATCAATATTTTATCCCTATATTGTTAACACTAACAGTTATAATAATGCAGACTTGAGTTTTAAAAACTCATTAAACAAATCCCACCACAACTTGCTATCTTGGTATACTCTGTATCTCTATGTATTTTTTCAATACCTCAGAGTTCTGTATTCAGAATGGGCCAATGGAAATGGCACATGGTAATAAGAACAAAAATCTAGCACCTGATGTTGGTGTCTGTAATTTTTTAAACACCACTGCTTAATTTTAGTGGTTACCTTTTGTTAGTTTATAGAAAAAACTTTAAGATCAATTAGTTCTCACATATTGGACTGTATGATGAGGCAACAGAGGCCCACGGGACAGAGCCAGGCAGCCGTCTCCTGAGTCCTGTCTACATTTCTGCACACCGAAGGGTCCCTGAGGATCTCTGAGTTTTGGCCTTAACTGGTTATCAATAAATTGAAATGGCAACCCTGGCTAGTTCAGCTTCCATGCACTTAGGAGTGAAGAGTGGTTATTGTGGTCTGAATTGTGGCCCCACCTCACCCAAATCCATGTTGAAGCTCTAACTCCTAGGATCTCAGATTGTGATTGTATTTAGAGGTAGAACCTTTAAAGAAGTAATTAAGGTAAAGTGAGTTCATGTAAATGGGCCCTCATTCAGTATTACTGATGTCCTTATAAGAAGGGATTAGGACACAGACAACACTCAAAGGATACAGGAAGAAGGCAGCCATCTGTAACCCAAGGAAAGAGGCCTTGGAAACCAAACCTGCTGACACCTTGATTTTGGACTTTCAGCTTCTGGAATTGTGAGAAAATAAATTTCTGTTGTTTAAGTCACTCAGTCTGTGGTATTTTGTCATGGCAGCCCTAGCAAATACAGTGGTCTGATTAGAGGAAAATGTAGAATATACACTATATGTTTCTCTCTAATGGAGACACTGTGTTATGAATGAGGGCTCATTAGTTATAAGTAACAGAAATCAAATCCAGCCACCTTAGCACACAGAGGAATTTATCTTAAAGATACAGTGGTATCTCAGGGAGCTGGAGCGGAATGCAGCTGGCCTCAGAAATGCACTGGATTCAGGGACTGGAGCACTGTCAAGGTTTTGTTTTCATCTCTGATTTCTCACTTGTCTCTGCTTCAGTTTTTTTCCCTTTTTCTTTTTATTCTTTTGTCTATCCCAATTTTGATTCCTGGGGAAGAGATTGATTGGCCCAGCTTGAAAGAGTGACTTACCTTGGTCTAATAGTCACGGCCACAGGAGGCAGGGTCACGTGGTACACAGTGGCCATTAGGGCCCCCATGGATATGAAGAAAGCGTCCTCCAAAAAGGAGAGCTCAACAGACTGTGGAATAAGTCCTCTGTGGGATGGAGGGTCTGTCCCCTCTCAAGGGCAATGGGGACACATGTGATGTTCAGTGCACTACAGCAGATGGCTAATGTATTAACGGTTTGGCTACAAACAGCAAAACCAAAGCAAGGGCAGCCTGAGACCTCATCCGGACCAAGAACTGCTTGCCCCTTATGGCTGTTTTCCAACTGAGGATGGCAGAGAAGGAAGAGGCCAAGAATGTTGATTAGCAGCCTGTCAAAATATGTGCACCCATCAGCTGGAAAAAGCTGACTGGTGATCAATGGGAAAACCATTATACAAATGCTGCAGAATGTTTATAACCCCTCAAAATAATGTGCAATGGAACATAACATGAAACCAGACTGGTCTCTGGTTTTATATGTATTTGGGAGTCTAAATTATTACTCTCTGAGAATAAGGGGTGGGGGGAAGATGAAATAATACTTCTTGTTCTGGAGAAGAGGCAAGTAGTATAGAAAATACAGGAAGGACCAACTTTCAAATAAGTCTAAATCAGATAAATGTAGTTACATCTGAATTAGCATGGGAAGGGCATCTGCACAACTGGCATGACACTGTTTTTGCTCATGTCACCTCCTCCTCTTCTTCCACCTGGGACCCAGGCCTGAAGCCCCTGCTTAGCCGTCTCCTCTATAACACCTCCTCTGACTCTGACTGGCCACACAGTTCAGCATTTTATTTTTCTGCAACTGTTTTGTGGACACTATGTTCTCCCCTACTGACTAAACCTCCTAGGATAAGGCCCACGGGACATACTCCCACGCTCTCTTAAAGGGACTGATACACCTTTTAATGAACATCTGTTGCCTGACTAGTTGTCACAGGCTGAACAGGAAATGATGGTCAGAAATCTGCTTGCTGGGCTCAAATAATATTAGAATAATTAGAGAAGAAAGAGAAATATCCAGGTATATTCCTTTTAAGATAAAAACTTTATTTTACAATTTTATAAAGCAGCTTTACATTAAGCACAAACAATCCATTTACTTTGTATAGAAACAAAATACCTTTCCATCTGCAAAAAATCAAGTTTTGCTGTATATAAAACTAACATGTGCACATTGTGCTTAAACTGCAAAGTCTGTACAGCTTTACAAAGGACTACCCTTCACAAGGGCATCCAGTAAACACTTTATTGCATATTTAACACATGGTATATAACCCACATGTACAATGGAGGAAAAACAAGAAAAGCAATTACAAGAAGGATGAAAATAGCAGCTTTCAGTGAAAGTTTGCACACTGACAAAGAAAAAGGATTGCCACATCTAGAGTTGTGCTTGTGTGTCACTTTTGTATTTGCTCACAGACACTGGATGGTTTTTGGATGAAGCCTTTATGTACAGTAACTGCTAAAGGGTCAAACTCGACCTTTATCTGGAAACTTTTGGCTGGTTTTAAAACTGAAGTGGCAATAGACTTAATTTAACATCAAAGGTAACTCAAGATAAGTGTAAAAAACTAACACCCATACTCTTGAAACAAAGAACAATTTAAAGAAACAAAACTTTGAAATACCTTCCCCATGCTCTCTAAGCTCAGAATAAGTAAACATTTTACATGATTTAAAACCCTAGAAAACGCCATAGGTGTTTAGGAACAAAAATGCAATGGATGGTCTTGGGCAGTGTTCCTCCATGCACACCCCAGGCTCACCTGCATCAGAATCACCTGGATGCTTGTTAAAAATGCAGATCACCATGGTTCACTGGAAGATTTACTGAATATCTGGAATCTGTATTTTAATAAGCTCCTAGGTGGTTCTGAGTCATCTTAAAAATGTGAGAATCACGAGTCTGTACTGATGGTGCTGCTACAGGTTCAACTCACTCTCTTAGAAAATTCTGGGATCACAAGAAAAATCAAATTGCTGTTGCAATGTGGAAGGCAGTGTGAAACCAACAGCAATGAAATAGCAATGCCATTTCTAGATCAAGATGTCTTTCCTTTTTCAGCAGAAAAGGACAGACATGTTGTTAAGGCACTGATATTGTTCACAGAAGCAGTCCCATGCTGTTTTTATTGATTCCCGCAATCTGAAGTACCAGTACGCGAACACAAGGCAGACGTCTGGACTGCTCTAAAATAATAACAAATACGATGATGTAAAAAGGGTTCCCAGATTGGAGAAAGTTTATTTTTTGAGCACTGAAAATAAAAATGAAGGCATCCAGATATTCTCGTTGGGACATCTTAATGGATAAGAACTATGAAGGTCAAAAGCTTAGCGGGAACCTAATAATCCACGGCTGTTTTGTTGTGGGCAAGAGAGAGTTTGGATGTGCATTTAATATAGGCCATAGACAAACTGCACTGTGGGGTCTCCTATTTCCAATCTGTGTAAGTTATAGTGTTGATTTAGTGTACAGTCATACACTACAAGAGAAGAGCAAAACCAGCCTCTCGGTTCCGACCTAATGCTTGAAGCCCTACAGCAGACACTGCCCAGGGTATGTGGGCGAGGAAACCTATAGGTATTGTGGGGTATAGTGAGGTATAAAAGCCAAATAAATGTCTGATTACTCATACACAGCAAATGCAGGAGCATCACTTCTATCCAAGAGCTGAAATAATTTAAAATTAAAATTGCAAAGGAAAAACAATAATGCGCAGTCAATGGTTTCGAAAGTTGAAGACCAAGAATGATCTAAGTAGGAAAAAAAATCTGCTATGATTCTTGATGTAATATTTGACCTAATGTTTTTCTTTAAGGGTGGGGTGGAAATCCTGAAAGGGTAGTGGTGGTAGACTTACCAAAATTACTAGCTCCTTCCCAAATTTAGGTTTATAATCAAGTTTTCCAAATAATGTCCCAAAAATGTTCCCCCCAAACAGACAACACTCTTGAGTGTGGTCTGAAATGAATTACAAAATTCTAGATAGTGACAAAAGAAACTATCACAATGGGGATGGGGAGGGATAGACTGATTATCAAACCTTTACTGATTGTAGATCAAGTTTCATAACAGATAACATTTTTGTAATTTCTTGTGCAGTCAACATATTTCATTTTAGTTGTGCTTACATTACATAACTGTGAAGCCTGAACATCGACTGTGTCTTTAATTTACACACCAAGAAAACTATAAATTCAAAATAGTGTCCATATATAACAAATTGAACAAATGCAACAAATGCTCATTTGCCCCCAAGAAATTAATCTATAGGAAAAAAAAAACATCATTTAAAAAAGTTGCACACAGTTCACTATTCAGGCTACAAGTAAATATTTACTGTATTACAGCACATTGTTTTTTTAAAGTCTGCTTTCAACATAAACATAAATAATCACATTTTAAAAGCACCCCATACTAAGCTTTCAGGTAAGTGCTAGACAGCTGGCCAGTAACAGCTACTTACCATTTGCTTTCCCAAACCGAGAGGGACTGGGCTACCTGTGGAACTATACAGGGCGATAAGCATGGCAGAGTTAAACATCGTTGTTCCGCCCACTGACTAAACACTTTCCTGCTCAAATGCCATCTACATTTCTAAACACCCAACCCGTGGAATGCAGTTGTCTCAGAAGGCTGGTTTTAAGGATCATTTATCACTTTGATGACATCCACAAAAAGCTAGTGTACGACCTTTCAACATGTGCCTATGCTCTGCTGAGACAGGGCCCGTAGTTTTCGTGTACAGCAGAGGCTGAAATGTGATTTTGGTTGTGAGCTCTAGTTGTGCTTTGCCCTGCTGCCTTTAAGGTAGCTTTTCCACCTCTTGACAAACTCTTTGAAGATCGGGGACTCATCAATGGTGCTGAGGAGCTGCAGCTGATTGATGTGGGTGGTGTGGTAGTCCCAGCGGGCCAGGTTGGGGGCGATGCCCAGCATGAAGTGCCGGAGGTCATAGATGGTTCCTGAGCCAGTGTCATACAAGGGGAGCATGGCTTTCAGGGATTCCATGCCCCGTTCATACAGGAACCGTGCTTCTTTCCCCAGTTTTTCCCCTGCAGTTTCTTTTAAGTCATACAGCCCAATTAAAGAATACATAAAGCCATTTAAAACAAAAGAGCTAGGCGTGGTTGGATATTCTTCATACCAGTCATGTTTATTCATAAACACAGCTTTAACTCCATGCTGCTCTGATAGAAACTTGTAAGGGGCCGTTGCCCTTAAAGCTGAATTGAGGAATATATGGTCTTTTGTTAACAGATAGGCCCTGACTAAGGTAGAGATGGCTTGCCCTTGAGCCATGGCAGAGTACCACCCCGGCTCTAAAGACTTGAACCCTTCCCCTAACTTACGGGTCACCATAATTGGCCAGCCACCTTTCTCGTCTTGGTTCCTTACCAGCCAATCACTGGCAGCAAAGAATGCGGCCATGTGGGCTGTGGCGGAGATGGTGATGTTGTCGAGGAATCCTTTCCCTTTTGCAATCAGCTTAACCACCTTCTTGGGCATTATTTTGGTTGGCTTGACAGCTTTTGTGTTGGAAAGACCCACTCCTTTCCTGAGGTCAGTGACCAGGTCCCTGGTAACCGTGCTCCATGAAGTTCTGGGCCCGATGCCATAGTATATGTCTCTTTCTTTAAAAGCAATTAGCTGGGTGTTTGAGACATAATGTACAGTGAAGAACTGATTCTTTTCTGTGGTCTCTAGAACCACGGACACGCTTCCATTTGTCAAGAACTTGAGGTCAAATGAAATAATAAAATCTTTCGTGTTTCCCAGTTGCAAAGATACACCTTCACTGGTTTCTGTAGGGGATAAAATATATCCACAGAGACTGGTTAGAATAAAAGCTCTTTGGATTTAAAAGTTAACTGTAATTCATCCTTGACAACCACTGATCATACAAGATTAACACTTCAATATTTTGCATCAGATTATTAGTATTATTATTTTTACTACATTAACAACAAACGATAGAATTGGTGATTCCATGATGGCTTGTTAGCATCAGGCCAAAGCTCTTACCTTTTAGCCTGTGTGGTTTACATTAGAGGGCTAAGAGCAAATGGCTAAGGTACTGTTTTCTAGATCAAATGCTGGTGATCAATAATCAATGACTGTTCTAGTATACCCACTCTGCAAAAAGAACAAAACAGCCAAAAGCTGGCTCAGCATATACTATTGCAAGAGAGAGAGAGGCTAGAAGGAAAGAATGGCTATGCAGGAATGTAAAATTTTAAATTTAATTAACATTTAATAAATATTTACTATGTTCTATGTGCTTTATACACTTAATCCTCATACAGATTACAAGAGTCAGTGCGATTATTCCTCTCACTTTACAGATAAGGAGCTTAGACACAGAGAAGTTAAGTAACTTGCCTAAAGTACCAAGAGTTGAACCCAAGTTGTCTAGTCTGGCTCCACAATACATACTCTTAATCGCTATTTGATATGCAAAATGATAGGTTTGTTTTCAGATATTTGCTGAAATTGTGAATAAAATTTCTGGAAACTAAGGAATAGGCTCATGTAGTCAACAAAAAGTGAGAGATACTGGGGGGAGGTGGAGGAAGAAACACAGGCTTTGGAGTTAAAACAAAACACCTTGTTTGAATTCTTACTCTGCCGCTCACTAGTTTTGAGATGTTCAACAAATATAACTCTTTGAGTCTCAGTTTCTTCTCATGTTAAATAGAGATATTACTCTGCAAGGTAATTGTGACGATTTAAAAAAAAGATAGTGGCTTGGGACATAGTAAAAAATTATAGTGATTATCACTATTTTTCTGAAGCCATTGGCTTCGGAGGCTGATAAAATAGTAAATATTGTTTTATCTAGCAAATTATCAAGCAGGAAATTTCTCTTGGATATCTACTGTGCAATGATGGCTGACTCCCAGAAAGATGACTTTCTGAATACTACTGGGCTAGATCTACCGAGAAAAGAAACAGAGCACATTAAACCAGACAGCAGCAGCAGCAAGAACAAGAACAAAAAATATATGCTGTACAAATTTCATATGAAAGATAAATATGAATATCTTGATCTTTATTGAGCTTAAAATTTCAAAGCACATTCACATGTATTATCTCACTTGATCCTGACAACAATCTGTTGAGGCTGGTAGAGCAGGAATTGCCACTTCCCTTTTAGAGATGAAGATATGGAGGCTTGGCAAGGTTAAAAGGTTTACCCAAAGCCAAATGCTAATTAGTGGTGAAGCAGGGACTAGAAGCCAGGATGCCCAGACCCAGGTTCAAAGACCATGAAAAAAGAAATTATATTGGAAATGGCATCCTCATGAGAATAATCAGTGGAAGAGCTATTTCTCTTACACACAGCCATAGAATCAGATCTGCCTTGAGGAGTCCTTGAGGAACTCTTGAGTGTGTCACCAGGAGCAAAGCTTAGCATTGTGAGCTGATGACAGCGTGTACTGTGTGACTAGTGTGGAGAGTGTTAGCATGCTGAGTTGATCATTTAACTCTCCTAACATTGGACTTTACCATTGTGGAGATAATTGAACCCAAGCTCTTAATTACTTCATTTGATGGGACAATTATGAAAATTGTATCAAGAATGAGAAAATCTTGATAGACTTATGCATCAAATGGTGCTTTGAGTGATTTTTTAAAAAAGTGATTTTAGAAGTATAGTTCTAATACAGTAAAAATCCATTTAATCTGGAAAAACGTGAACATGCAATCTCTCTCTTAACCAGCATTTTTCTGCATCTATAGTAAAATGGAATTTGATGCTCCGTATAACAACCCTGAAACACTGCAGGATTCCACTGACTTATGAATCACTTAAAATTAAATTATAGGGCCGGCCGAGTGGCGCGTTGGTTAAGAGCTGGCTTGGGACGCCAGTTCTGAGCAGCAGGGCCCTGGTTTGGATCCCACATGAAGGACAGCAACTTGTCTGTTCCCCTTC